GTTCTGATGTCTTGGTTATGTTTTCAGACCTTTCTAGCTATGCCCTTAATTAAATTTCAATACTCTTATTCAGAAATTTCATAAACAGCTTGTAGATGTATCATATTCAAAGAATAAGTCGAAAAAGAGTTTTTAATTCCAAGTTTTTTCAAGAGTTTCAAGGAACGAATAGAACAATCAACGCTTCTGCCTATGACTGAAATGATTTACTTACTTATATCACAGAGTGTACCAGTCCAACCACGCATACATTTGCACACAAACCCGTTTACTTGATCAACGCATGTTGCATCATTTTGACAAGGATTGGACTTGCACTCGTCGACGTCTAGATTAAAATTAGAAGACAAATACAAAGTTAAAAAGCCCGAGGGAGGGGAGGGTTAGTAGCATGTATATTACTCTTACCATTATCACATAAAGTGCCATGAAATCCTGCAGTACACTGACAGATAAACTTGTTCACCTGATCAACACACGTGCCACCATTTTTACAAATAACACCTTGACATTCGTTGATATCTGGGGAAACAATGATAGACCTTATAGAATGAACTGTTATCGTTTGAGAAGCAAGGAAGCAATAAGGTCTAGGGAAACAAGAATAGCCGTAAAAAGCGGTGAGAGAGTTGGTCTGTCACCTCTCTGGACCCTGTTTAAATCTCGGTTGGGAAGCCATATGTAATATGAGTTTCTTTCGTTCTAGAGGGTTTTTCCGGGACTTTTCCGGTTTTTCCTCCCTCAGTAAAAACGGACCATTTCTATCTGCTGTGCTCCGCGGTCAGTCGACTTTGCTATGTTTTGAAGCGCCTAGCCGGCAGCACGCCTATGTGTAAGTGTATGTAAAATGTGTCTGTAATAAAGTACATCGACAGCAGAGTGCGTCTTGTTGCGTCCTTCGCAATTCAGCACCGTGCAGCGATGTGAACACTGGAAAAAATCGCGCACTTTAAAAGGTTGAAATTTGATGTAAATATGTTGTAAGTGTTAAAAATGATGTAAATTTGATGTTAATAATTTACATCAATTTACAACCTTTAGAGTGCTCGATTTTTTCCAGTTAGGACGATTAGCAAACACCACCTTTTMCTTCTCCCCTTTTCCATTGACGCATATAATACGTTCCTTACCATTTTCGCACCGATCTCCCTTGTATCCAGGCAGACATGAACATGAGTACYTATTGAGATGGTCAGTGCATTTACCGCCATTGCTACATGGATTGGGWGCACAGTCATCAATATCTGAAATAAGAAGATGAAATACCAAATGCTGAGGAAGTACTTTTCATTTTTACGTCCAAATCATTTCCAGGAATTCCAGGTTTCACTGAGACCCTCTTTTCACATTTTTTTTCCAGCAACAGAATCCATTTCACTGAGCAACACACAACAACAAGAAAGTTTTCTTTGGAAATGTTGTTTTTTTTAACAGTTTAGAGTACATACCAACGCTACAGTCTTTTYCAGTAAGACCAGGTGGACATTTACACTTGTAGTCGTTAAACAAGTCAACACACGTTCCACCACCACGGCATGGGTTGACCAGACAGTCATCGTAATCTAGAAGACACAGAGATTTATCAAATGATTGACATATAACAACATTCCAGGAAATTTAGTGAAGGATGGTGTTATGTAGCAGGGCCGGGTTGTTCAAAGCTCGATAGCRCTAATCCTGGGTTAACTCTTGGAAAACCTATGGAGTTAACCCTGGATTTACGCTTATCTGGCTTTGAACAACCTAGCTTTGCAGAACTAAGTGATTGTGGACTCAAATTGCATAAATAAATTTATAAAGCGCTTTATTAAGGAAGAAGCAACCAACTAGATGAATCAAATATGGGAATTAGTATAAACAAATAACAGCAAAGAAATATTAAACAAAAGCAGCGACAATAAACAAAGTAAGCAAACATAAAAAAAACAGAACGCGATGAAAAATATAACAAGAAAACGAAGAAGAAAGMAACCCCAACCTGTGCTGCAATTCTTGCCAGTCCATCCTTTGATGCAAGAACATGAGAAGTCATTTACTCCATCCTTACAAGTGCCTTGATTCGCACAAGGGTTTGGCTGACAATCATCAATGTCTGTTGAAAAGAAAACTTTAGATATAAGTCTCAAGTTTCAAGTTGTGTGTCTGCCCCATTTTCTGTAAACTGTAGAGAAATTTAAAATAATTCAATTGTTAGGCCATAAGATAAATTCTACCACTGTAAAAACCTACTACTGGAAAGGTCTCNTAATTGTCATAGTGAAAATAAGATTTTTTAAATAAAAATGTCTTAATGTTCGATTTGAAGGATGCCACTGAAGGTGAAGCTTTTATAAATTCTGACAGATCATTCCATAATTTAGATGACGTAACACTGTATGACGTAACACTGTATTGTTTACCTATTTGACAATTGTCCCCAGTAAAACCAACGGAACAGGAACATGTATATTGATTAACACCATCAATACATTTGCCATTATTTTGACAAGGATTGTTTWGGCACTCATTGATATCTGCAACGATAAATTGATATCTAAAATATATCATRTAAGAGTGTTTCYATTGCAAAAGGTCCCTAAAGAACGCAGCCTTGAGCAGTACCCTTTATGAGTACAGCGCATCGCCAAAAAGGATTCTTAATTGCCCTATAGCAATATCACCCTAAAAGCGGTATATAGACCCCTTGCAGTTCGAGGGAGTGGGYTCCAACTTGAGGACAAAAGAATAGCTTCTAGTTCCCAAGAGGGCAAAAATCTTTTGTTTTGTCCTCCAGATGAAGCTTCTTTGACGTCACATGCAAGGGGTCTATTWAATCCATGTTTTACTTACTWTTTTCRCAGAGGMGTCCATTATATCCTGGAACGCAATTACACTCGAATCCATTGACTCTGTCAATACACGTCGCACCATTCTTACAGCTGTCAGCTTTACAATCATTAATGTCTGAAACAATCGTCATAAATGCATCATGTTATGTACACGAAACAGCAAACAATCAATAAACAGCCTTACTGGTTCCGCAGGTTTTTCCAGTGTATCCTGAGGGACATTGGCACATGAAATCATTGAYTTTATCCGAACATGTACCGCCATTAACACAGGGATTACTTGCACACTCATTGATATCTTAAAAAAAAAAAACAAGAATATATAATTATCTCTTGAAAAGCAACTAGATTTCTAGTGTTTTTATCCAGCTGCAATTCTAACTCATATTGAAATCATGAAGCATCATTTTTCCTGGTATAAATGCAATAACATTTCTGTGGCTCATACACTATCAAAACAACTATAAACGTAACCCAAAGCCTTTGACCTATTGCAAGAATAGGTGCAATATTTCTAAATATATACTGAACATCTAGAAAACGTATTAAACAGCAAAGTAGTTGATATAATTGTATATTAATTGTAATATAATYATTATTATTATAACTGCCTATGATAATAAAAGCAGGCATTCAGTATTACCGTGGAATAACTAATTGATCTTTTRCTCAAACCTACATTTATAGGTAACRCAACTACTTTTAATAAATTGCTTGTCCAATTTAAATCTAACGCTAGAATTTACCTTTTGATTGTGGGGATTCCTGTTTTACTTGAAGTATAACTTACAGCTATCTAACGTAAGCTAACATAGAAAACCTGCCTAAAATGTATGTTGAATTAAATGAAGGTCTATACTTACCAATTGTACAGCGCGGTCCAGTATAACCGGCCCTACAGGTACAGTTGTATGAGTTAACACCACTGCAACAGCATGTTCCACCATTTTGACATGGACTAGACTCACACTCATCTATGTCTGGAATAAAAAAACATATTTAAGTTACACTTGCCTCTCTTTAAAAGGGACTAAACTATAGCTAGTAGTAACTCACCAATTTCACAATATYGCCCTGTGAATCCTACATCACAGTTGCAACTGTAATTGCCGACTCCGTCAATGCATGTCCCACCATTCTGGCAACGGCTGCTAGCRCACTCATCGATATCTGTAAGAAATATTAGCGTTGATTATTGATAGAGTGTAAAATCAATAGTCATATCTTCCGCCYTTCCTTCTTTAAAATAATTTTGGTCCTGGCAAACGTTTTTCAGGTCAAAAAGGCTTATATAACGTTTTTTTATGGTCAAAAACGGCTTATAGTTAGGAAAAGTTAGGAAATTTTTATTTTCCTGTCAAAAGTTCTTAGACAATATTCCTTGCTTGGAGAGTTTTTTTCCCTGAATTTCTCGCTGGCAACCAGTTGTGACTTACAGCTGGCTGGGACATAAGAACAGATATATTTTTCCCAGGAACCCGTCGGCTCCTATTTCATTCGCCAAGTAATCGTCAAAATTTTTAATTAACTCACCAACGCCGCATCGTGGTCCAGTATAACCCTTGACACATTGACACGTATAGGATGCCTCACCATCGATACATGTGGATCCATGTTTACATTGGTGATTGACGCAGTCATTCATATCTATTTTATGAAGGAAAAAAGTCAGAGATTGAAACCAGCTCATGATTTCTTAATGGGTGAAACACTTTACTAATGTTACGGACGTTAATCCTTCGTCGGAGTGAAGAGATTAAAAAAAAAGAGTTTCACCTCTTTACTCCGAAGAAGGATTAACGTCCGAAACGTCAGTAAATTGTTTCACCTATTTTTTTACAGTGTTACGTTTATGTTTTTACACAACTGTTTCTTTAAAACACCGACGCAGCTCGCACCAGTTTACCGCTAGTTTTCACCATCATGATTTCTGAGTTGACCTAATGCTTTCAAAAATATTACAATCACATGGGAAGCAAAGCTTTATTTTTCGTGCAGCGATGTAGTTTGAAAGCGACTGTATCCTCGGGAACCCAGGGGTTATCTTCTGTCGTTTGTTCCTCACTCCAGAAAAAGTACCCCTGGGCACGAAGTCTGTTAGACCTTGTTCTYRAWTYGAAAYTCAAAATGGCGGCCAGTAAGTTAATCAACCAATCAGAATGTTCGAGTGAATCACTCGACCAATCAGAAATTTACCAGCCGCCATTTTGAATTTCGAATCGAGAACAAGGTCTAACAGACTTCGTGCCCAGGGGTATTTTTTCTGGGAGTGAGGAACGAACGACAGAAGATAACCCCTGGGTTCCCGAGGATGAAGCGACTGTGAATTTCTGGATCACTCAGAATGATTCATTCAAGATAGGGCGTGCCCCCATCCCTAAGAGTCCCCACTGTGACGCCCCAAAAATACCTCACCACAAGGATATGTTTCTAAACATTATAGGTAAATATTGTTACTTACTAATCCCACAGTGAGTCCCGGTGAAACCGCTTCGACATGAGCAGGAATAAGAATTTATTCCATCATTGCACGTCCCTCCATTTTTACAAGTCACGCTAAGACAATCGTTGATATCTATAATGAATTGAACAATTCAATAGTTATTACACGTTTTACAAATAATTGCTTGTTCTTTAACTAATTTTTGCTTATTATCTTTCACGCCCGTTTTTGTTTACGAACTTCTGTCACTCCTGAAACAAAAACATGCGCAAAGGAGACTAACATGYTTGCATGGACTTCAGCTTATTGCTTTTCTGCTAATGTTATGCACATGATTTGATTCCCAGGGCGTTTGGTTTACAGGTTTGGGCCAAAAAGCTCCTCCCTGAATCAATTAATAAAAAACAAGAAAGGGAGCAATTTTTTGCATCTTTTATACTCTATTT